AAGAGCTGATCCACATGAGGGCTAACGGATCTACGTGGTGTGGTTGGACCAGCTCAGAAATCATCAACCCTGTGTGGGTTTTCCTTGCACGACCGCAGGAGGAAGCAAGCATCGGGAGCTTGGCTCTATGAGAGGCTCTATTAGCAGGCTTGAACAGTTTCTGGGCGGATCAGATAGACTTGAGCATATAGAGCGATGGGTGGAGATAGGCTGGGCTGCTTTGTGTTCAGGTAGTACACCCGTTCTTCCTGATTCCCTTCTTGCTCTCAGACCATCCCTTTATCTATTTATTTTTAAATTTTTAAAATGTTTTTATTTATTTTTGAAGGAGAGAGAGAGACAGAGCATGAGTGGGGAGGAGCAGAGAGAGAGAGAGACACAGAATCCAAAGCAGGCTCCAGGCTCTGAGCGGTCAGCACAGAGCCCGATGCGGGGCTCCAACTCACAGACCACGAGATCATGACCTGAGCCGAAGCCGGACACTTAACCGACTGAGCCACCCAGGCGCCCCTCAGACCATCCCTTTGAAGTCTTTTCTCTTGGATCTTTAAAGGCAGATGCCAAGTCAAGAGATTTCTTTTTTTTTAAATTTTTTTTTTTTAACATTTATTTATTTTTGAGACACAGAGACAGAACATGAACAAGGGAGGGTCAGAGAAAGAAGGAGACACAGAATCTGAAACAGGCTCCAGGCTCTGAGCTGTCAGCACAGAGCCCGACGTGGGGCTCAAACCCACAGACTGCGAGATCATGACCTGAGCCGAAGTCGGATGCTCAACCGACTGAGCCACCCAGGAGCCCCAAGAGATTTCTTGTTCATTTTTGAACCACTGTGGGGCATTACTGGCCTCAATTCTTTACACCTCCTGTATTCAACTTTTCCTAGTGACTTTCTATTCTTCCTCTATCTCCATGCAGAATGGCAGAATATAGTTGCATGCTCCTTGAACTTGGGCTTGGCCGTGTGACTTGTTTGGTTAATGATCCATAGGTGAAACGACAGCATGCCAGCTCTGATCCTGGGCTCATGTCTCCACTTGTCATTCGGTGCATCTACATCACTATAAGAAAAATATGCCTACATTAGGCGTAAGAGGGCAAAGGAAGATGGTTAAAGGAGGGTGAAAGATACATGGAACGGGGACGCCCCAGTCAACCAACACACCTGCAGAGAGAGTTGCCAAGATGTCTACAGCAGAGCAGTTGGGCCCAGCCTAGGTCAGCTAAATCCTAGCAGGAGCACAGATGTGAATAATAATAAATTATTGAGATAGTAAGCCGCCGACATTTGGGTAGTTTGTTACACAGCGAAGCTAACTGATACCAACCTCCCACAAGCTCCGTAAGAGAGTTTTTATCAGAAAGCAAGAAAACTGTTCAATGAAGGGGCTAGAGAGAGTCCATCTACTATGTTTAGGAGCAAAGAGCAAACATAGGTAGAGACCTTCTTTATTCCTGGATTAGAAAGGAGGAGGAAGAAGGGGAGGATGAGAAAGAAGGAGGAAATAGGAGAGAGAATATGAGGCATCTGATTGAGAGAGAGAATAAAAAAAGAGATGGCCTATTGCTTAGGAAGAGGAGAACACAGCCTGGAGCATTAGCACAAGACCATTATTTTGTACCTCAGGAAGCCACAAACAAAGTTTTTGGATAGCTTCTGCTTGGTCCTTGTAATAAAATTCCAGAAAATATGGACTATTTTCTTGAGAATAAGAAATTAAATGTAAGATAAGACAACAGTATTTAAAAAAAATTTTTTTTGAATGTTTATTTTTGATAGAGAGAGAGAGAGACAGAGCATGAGCGGGGGAGGGGCAGAGAGAGAAGGAGATGCGGAATCCGAAGCCGGCTCCAGGCTCCGAGCCGTCAGCGCAGAGCCCGACGCGGGGCTCGAACCCGTGAGCTGTGAGATCGTGACCTGAGCCGAAGTCGGACGCTCAACTGACAGAGCCCCCCGGGCGCCCCAAGACAACAGTATTAACAGTATGCACTCTCTTGGGTCACTTGCCAGCTGCCACGTGTGAAGGCAGTCACACCACCCTACGGGGAGGCCTGTGTGGGGAGGACATGAGACACCCAGCCAATGGCCAGCACTAATTTGCCAGCCATGTGAATAAGCCACCTTGGAAGTGGATCCTCCAGTCTTAGGACGGCAGCTGTTCGACAAGGTGACTTTCATGACCCACCCTAGACAGGTCTGCCATTTCCTCCACCATTTCCTCAATGGCCTGTCGGTCACAGTCAGCCCGATTCAGTGCGGAAGGAACTTTGTGAGCCGATGAATGCCAGGGGACTGGAGTCACTGGGGCCCCTCTTGGAGTGGGATACTTGCTTTTTCTAGAAAACGATGGTTGCTGACATTTGCCCTGTCGTTGCTAGGTTACAGACGCTGTTGACAGTGCTTTATGTGTATCAGCCCATTGAATCTTCCCAACAACCCCTGTACGATTATCCTGGTTTTATAAACGAGGAAACCGAGGCACTAAGAGTTTAATAAATGTCGTTTGCTCCGGGTGCCGAAAACCCGGGATCAAAATCAGGCCGTCTGGCTTCAGAAGCCACGCTCGGAAGCACTCTGTTATCTCACTCCCTGGTCGTACTAAATTCTGCCCCTACGACTTGGTGTACCATTGTCCCGTGGGAGTGGAAATGGAAATATCAAGGATGGGAGGGAGCTGGAGAAAGGGGGACCGCTTGTTTGCCACGGTGCTAAGAACAGCAGGTCAAGAATCTGGAAGCCCCTGCTTTGCTGGAAAGACTGTGATCTATACCATGACGCTCTCTGCACCCAGTGCCGGTGGCAGCCGGCTCCTTGTTTCTCATCACCGCACAGAAACGACCCAGGATGCCTTCTGATGCTGTGTATATACAGCGACCAAGCTACCTGGGCATCTTCACACCTCCTTGGAAAAGAATACAGGTAACATTTCCCTTCAAATAACTTTTCCAAGTCGGTCTCTTAGCCGTTACCTGTTCTCTGCCAGCAGGGAGTGCAGGCCGGTGGGGAGCATCTCACGCACCTCTGTTTGATGAGTTGGGGGGGGGCAGTAAATCGTAAGTGAAAATTCAGCCTGTTCAGAATGGCCCCGCTTGCACATTTGACCCCAGGAGAATGTTAACTTACACCAGAAGAAAGCGAGCGGGTGTCCCACGGTCACCGGCAAAGTCCCTCACCCCCGGGGCCTCCGTCAGGTTTTGGGGTCTCAAAGGATGCTGTGCTGCCACTCTTGGTGGGGAAAACCAAGAGGGTTTGTCCCAGAGGATATCAAGCGGGACCCGAATGGGGGGGGGGGCCGCTACGGAGGGAACCGCCTGGGGAGGACGGTGAATGGGAGCACTGCTATTTTCTCTGCTCTGACTTCATAATTCTTCTTTTCCTTTTTTCTTTTTGGCTCAGGAGATGATTTAACATGTGGCTCACAGCTGACTCTTGTAGGGGCTCAGAGAAGCGACGAGAAGACAAATACCACCTGGGCACTTTTGCACCATTCTGTGTGGCTCAAGGATGCCCCCCCCCCCTTCATTTAGGGAAGGCCTCCCTTTCCAACAGGAAGCGGGGGGGAGGGGCACCGGGATTATGTGTTCAGGGATCGAGACAGTGTGTTTGAGCTGGTGGGATCTGGTAAACCGTTGAGTCTGGTCACGGGGACCCCACTCTGCCTTCCAAAATCCTTGGCGTGTGTAGTCCAATCAAGTGGTAATAACAGGAAACACGGAGCCTTGAACTCTCGTAAGTGTAATATGTAGCAATCTTTTGAGGTGGGCGTGCTACCCTTCCCATTTTGCAGATAAGGAAAGTGAGGCACAGCGAGACTAAGTAACCTGCCCAGATTTATGCAGGGGTGAGTGGCAGGGCCAGGACTGTGGATACAGACAGTCTGGCTCCAGAGCCCAGATTCATAACTACCATTCTCCACTGATTTTCCAAGCAGGGGGATCCTTGAGGCCATCGGGCCCGGCCTCTCCCTCAGTCACTCATTCCTGAGCCAGTTTTAGGACCTTTGCGATATCTGTGTCCCACCTCTAATGCCACTAACGTAACTTTTTCATTCTCATAATTCACTCCGTCTACTTGAATACGTTTGTCTGAAATGAAACCTTGATATTCGCACGAGGGGTGAAAACTCAGCATCGTTTGCCATAAAAATAGAGAGGAAATGTAAAAATAAGTCCAGCGAAAGCAGTGTGACTAACTTTGAGCTGAGCACTGCCCTCCCCCGAGTCCCAGAGCCCCTGGTGCCTGAGTTGAGGGATGAAAAGAGGAGAGGAAGAGGTGTCACTTTTATGGGACCTGCTCCCGGAGTTCGCCGTGTGCCCTCAGGGTTTAGACGGAGGCCCAGGGAACTGCCGCACCCGCGACCAGCAGGACCCCTGACTCCTGAGCATGGGGCCCTCCGCGCTCATTAGGCACATTTTCACACGCGGTGCCCCCACCAGGTTAATTCCTGAGTTAATTCGTGTAACATACCTGTTGATGGTGGCTCCGTCTCCTGCCCTCGCCCTCCAGTTCTCACGTTCCTGAAGCAATTCCTAACCTCCACCTGCCCCCGCTGTCATTGGCCACTCCGGAGGTAGCCCCTGGCCACGTGGGAACTTGGATTCAGGGCCCCTAGATCTAGGGGTCTGCTGTCACTGTGGCGGCTCATTTAACTTCTTTCCATCTGCCGGCGCCATCTCCAAGTGGAGGCTAACAGCGCTTTCTCTAAGGACCTCAAAGGGTTGTTGTCAGGACGCAAGGGAGGTCAAGGATTTGGAAACCCTCTGGTGGAAAACACGGCTCCGAATGTGCGAGCGTTCACGCCAACCCTCACTTATCTGGCATCCGCAAGCGATGAGAACCGTGAAGGAGGGGAGAGGCATTTGCACACAACAGAGAGAACTCACAGCCGGCTCCTGCATTTGTCGGACCTGCACGGATCCTCCTGCACGATGGGCCAGGTGCTAGCGAGTATTAACGAATTCGGACGTGACACCACATGGCCCCGACGTGAAGAGAGTCGTGGTGTAAAAGGCAGGTAACACACAGTTACGTGTGTGATGGGATTCCTCGTGGTGCAGACCCTCAGCCTTCTCGAGACCCGAGTCCCGCAGGTCGGGTCCTCTGTTTCCCCCAATCACGTGACTTCAGAGCTAACAGATGAGAAATGGGCAGGGCTCTTTCTGGGGCAAGGCAAACTTCCTTGATGAAGAAGAGGGGCTGACTTGGAGGGAAGGGGTAAGAGAATGAAGCAATTTGTGCTTTGAAGCCTGAGGTCACTATCTATCTATCATCTATGTATCGATCATTGTCATCTATCCATTATCTGTCATCTATCATTTATCGACCTGACTTATCACTTTATCTATCATCTATCACTTTATCTATAATCTACTTAGTTTATCACTTTATCATCTCTCTAACCTATCACTTTAGCATCTATCTAGCTATCCCTTTATCTATCATCTTTCTCCCTGTCACCTATCACCCATCTATCTTTCATTTATTACATTTTTTGTTCGGTCCCCATCTCTGGAATAAAACTTCCATAAGTGCAAGGGTGTTTTTTTTTTTTTCTCCCCAGACAGAGTATGTGGCCTGAGCACGCACTTAGGCACCTCGTACATGTCTGTTGGTTAACCTCCAACTCTGGGTTATCAAGGAAAGGTCAAGTTGTAGTTCATAGATTTTGAAAATAGAGCCCTTGATTTGCGCTTTTACCCTCATCCCCTGAGACCTTATGAGGTGTCGACGGGCACATAATTTCTGGTCCTGGAGAGCAGGGCCCCACCCACTGACCTTTATATCCAGCAGCAAGCCCGGGGCGGACACCCAGGAGCCACAGCCCTTCTCCACCTGGCCTCCTCTCGTGGACTTCCCTTGAGGGACTTCCCATGGAAGAGCTTCTACAGAGAAACAGGTTTTCTTTATTTCTACTTTTTGCCATTTGCCCAATTTTCTTCATAATTTCCATATTTCTTACTACTCTTTCAAAGTCATTTAGAGGATAGGTAACCAGGATCCCTGTGATAGGACCGATGTCAAGAGCAAGGACAAGACAGTGACTATTGCAATTTACTTGTCCACACTCCTCCACTTAAAAAAAAAAAAAAAAACTATAACGGCAAAAGTTTCAAATTAGCAACCCCCAAATGCCTTGCTTAACGTGAGTACTTTTTAGGACTACCGTTGCCATAGCAACCTGAAGCCTCTCTTGATGGTCACTGTACCCGATTCTATTGAAGCTAAAAATTACCTTAGCCTCGTGTATATGCTTGGCCAGCACAGTAAAGACTGGGTTCCAGAAAATTAAAACTTTTTTTAACCGGTTTGAAATTACTTCTACTGGAGCAAAAGAAACCTCTCAAATCTAAGTGTTTTTCTTCTTCTTCTTCTTCTTCTTCTTCTTCTTCTTTTTTAAAGGCATAATTTGTTGGACATTAAAATAACAAAAGGGCTTTGAGAAAGGATTATGTGTTTCTGATGTTTCACCACTAGAATAGATTTACCTTATATCTGACTGATGTAATCTTGCGTTCTGAGGTAATGTTTTAGCTCTTTTTCTTCCCATCAATAAAGATCTCAACGATAGCACTTCGTTCTTTCTCTAGAACATTCCTTCAGATTTTTTGCTCTCCGTCTTGTAAACCATTTCATCCAGGATGGTGTACAAATTGGATGCAGGACTTCTGTCGGGGCAGGGAACTCATTACCAAAGGTTTTTATTGCTACAAGCTTAAAATGGAAAATGTCTCAAGTCTGGAGAGTTCCAGTGGAGATGCCCCACATCAGCTGCTTTCCCTAGCTACGAGGAGAAGAGGAGAAGAAATTCAGTTCAGAGTTCTCTTCTTAACCCAAAAGGCGCCTGGCCCTGGGATCTCACTGAGCTCGGGGGCTGCAGAAGAATAGCCACTGGGGTAATTCTGATTTCAGAAAGAAAGCGCCTGTTTACAGCCCTGGCCTCCCTGGTAATCACGTGAGCCTCCTTTTCCCCCTTGCAACCTCGGCCGACTGGCCTACGACTCTCCAGGGCAAAATCTCTTTAAAAATTCCCAGATATATCCCTCTCCATGCAAATCGACTGCAGAAACTACCCGGGCTTTGAATATCTTTTGAAACGGAAACAACTGTATGTAACTAAGGGGCTGTTATTTACCAACAAGAGGACAAAAGCCCCGGGCACCCCCTTCAGCTCAGGGCCCCCGCGGGACTTCTCTCCCCAGCAACTTCATACTTATTAGCTTGATTGCCAACTTCGGTTTATTATTCACAAACTCACCCTGAGCCCTGCCTTTGAATGCGTAGAAAAAATGGTGTTTATGTTCCAGAATTTTTGCTTTATTCTCATGACTGAAGTAAACGATGAAGTATTTTCTGCCTCAGCAGAGCCAGCAGGGAAGAAACACATGTTGTAATTATCTTAAATAAGCAGGCAGGGGACTCGGCTTCTGGAGCCTTGCGGTAGGGGCCCCGGGAAAAAGTGGGGGACAGTGGGGTGTCCTGCCATCTACCCTCAGCCTTCCTCGCATCTGCTCGCTTGGGACTAAAGGAAGGAACCGTCCCCCTTGCAAAGACGGCTTGTGTGTAACTTAGTGACAGAAATGTGCTCTCCGGCCAATAAAACACATACTGGGGTTTTTTTTTTGAAAGATGAAAATTGACGAACATGTTTAAACGTTTTAAAGGAAAATCATCGTATTCGGGCAACACAAAATGACAGGAGCAAACCTTAACTTTACTCAAAAAAAAAAAAAAAATTCCATTAAAAAGTCATCACTTACAATAGCTTCTTAGGAATCTGAAACCAATACCTTCAGATCAAGATTCTGATCAGGACAAACCAATCGGGTGATTATCGGAGTACGGATAGCATTCAACGTTGGGCCTCAACAATAATCTCAAACCCTGGTGTGTATCTGATTTGGGATCCAGTTCCAAATGCAGTCAGCTTCTTCCATAACCAGTAAAATCAGCTATGTCTCTCTATGATTTTACTCTCGAAAGCATTTGTTACTGGGGGTTACTAGGCTTCAAAGAAATATTTTTGTGAAGCAATCTTCTCTATTGTCCTTTCTCCTTTCGGAGGCTGGGAGGGACGCTGGTGACTGCAGGCTTGAGTGGTGATCCCCGCGGGCCCTGCGCACCCCCCCCCCCCCCCGGTTTCTCCCTCTTGAGAGGGGTGGCAGATTTATTTCTCCTCGTTTCTCCTCTACCCAGTGTGTTCCGTGTTCCTTCTACTACTAATTAATGTGAGAATAGAGAATCAAAGAGGGTATCCCTCCGAAGAGTTGTTTTTGAAGAGTGACAAATTAATCCCCTCGGATATGCCTGGAGGCAGGCAAGATATCTTCTGTTTTGTTTTGCAAAATTCTGCAATTAGACGTGCAAAAGTTCCATTTTTAGTATAGATTTTGTTGACAAATTTCATCCACTTCAGAACACGCATGCACACACATACACACACACACACACACCCCCCTCAGCTTGTTCCCGGGAAACTATTCCTCAGGGAAGATATTTTTGGACCACTGGAAAAAACTCCTGTGCCAAGGTCTGCTTTTTGCCCACACCTGGCACCTGGCAGAAGGTTCTGGGCTCTGAAATGGGGAGTGGGCTCAGAACTCCTCAAGGTGGACCCTGCTTTCAGCACAGAACTTGGACATCCCTGCCCTCATTTGTGCCCTAAAATAACCCCGGGAGGTGTCATTATTACCGCCATTTTACAGATGAAGAAACTAAGGCTCAGAGCAGTTAAGTGACTTGCTCAGGTCACACAGAGAGTCAGTGTTGGAATCCAGCTGCAAGCTCAGCTGGTTTTACTCTAAGTCCCAACCTCTTCCTTCCAGGTTCTCCCGACTTCCTGCAGGCTTCATGGAAATGAGAATGTTAGCGGGACCCGTGTAGAACTCCCAGCTTCACTGCAACCCCAGTGAAATGAAATCTGCGTCTCTCTTGCAACTCGGAGATCCACCTATGAGCTGGCAGATAATTACAGGTCATGATCTAAAGTTTCGTGTTTCATTTTCGCCTGATGCCCGCAGAATTAGGACATTAGTTTCTCATAAATCAGTGCCCTTCAATCCATTACGCTTAGTCACCAAGAACCCGTGAACTGAGCCATCATCAGATGGGCTGGCTCCTACCCGCTCGAGGCTTTTGTCTTCCACTTAGAGCAGGTGATTTATGTATTGAAACATCGCTGAAACGGGAACGTCTTTCTCCCTTTCTTTCAGCTGTCCTTGGAGCCGATCCAGCCTCCCTCCGCTCCCAGTTCAGGAATCGGTGATCATGGAACAGAGTTAGTTTTTGTCTCGTTCGGTGTCTCGGGGCTCCAGTCTTTAAATCCCGGGGCCCGGCTGAATAAAATAACACCAAGATGTTATTGTTGTTTTTTTATCCCCAAGGTGGAAGGAGAACTGACGTTTCTCGAACCCCCTGCTTCACGCCCGCACACTGGGCGCTAAGTTACGGCATCCGATCTTCCCTGCCGCGCTGTCTGGGGAGAATCCTGATTCTTGTTTCATTGTCGTGGGCCCCCAGGAGGTGGAGAACCTCATCGTTGAGCAAGTGCGTCCAGGACTGCTTTGCCCTCCCAGCCCTCCTTGCCCTGACAGCAAATCAAGAAATTCACCTGTGCGGCGCTTGAACAGAATGGCCTTCTAGAAGCTTGGCTCTTCCAGCTGTGGACGATCGGCCCCGCGAACGGTCGCCAGTTCCTTCCTCTCAAGGCCCATGCGGAAGGTGGAGTGTTAGGAAGGGAAATGATTTACCCCAGGTCTCGCTACATTTATTTACTTAGCAGTGGGGCCTGGTTTCAGAGTCCTGTTCTTCCTAATTCCACGCTCCTGCCACTTAGTACCACCTTCCGGTCAATAGCACTTACACCAGTTACAGTTGGGAGGTTGAAGAAGAGCGAGACGATGTCTGAAGACGAACTCTGTCTCCTCAGCATCCAGGAGCAGCGTACAAAAGGGGAGACGTTTGCCGATGTTCGCCTGCTGCGAAACAGCGTCAGTTTCTTTATGCGGCCAGCCTGGCAAACGTCAGCGGAGTCCCTGCTTGTCCCTGGGGCTCCCGTCACTGTTGGGTGTTGTGTATGTCTTCAAGTCACGTAGTTAGGCTCTAGTCTTCAGGTTTGTACTGTGTGTGTGCAGCATGTGAGAAGAGGCTGATGGGATGTGTGGCCAAAGAGGGACCACTTTTCCAGGACTGAGGTACGGAAGCCCTGCCAGGCCTGGACCTCTGGCAAAAGGATCAGAGCATTTCAGTCGTCCCACGGCCACTCCGCCATGCCTGGTTCAAGAAGAGGGCAGCCAAATGCAAGGCTCTGGGCTGGGGTGGAGCCTGGAAGTCCCAGGGACTGTTCCCCGGGGGCGCTTGTGGCCCAGTTGGGCTCTTGGAGGCTTGTTGCTGCCAGCCAGGATGGCGTTTGCAAGACAGAGAGGGGAGCCAAGTTTCTGTTCGAGGCTTCCCTCTGTGGGCTTCCTCAGGGCTCCCTGGGGTCCCCATAACTGGCTGCCTGGCCGTACTTGGGCTCTTTGTGACCTGGCCCTCTTGGGCTGTGCAAATACCAACTACGATGATTGAAAGAAAGAGCTCTGGAATATGACAAACCCAGGTTTGATTTCTAGTCCCTTAAGTGCTGTGTGACCTCGGACAAGTTACTTAACCTTTCTGCATCTTAGCTTTCTCACCTGTAAAATGCTGCTGATCTGGTAAGGACTGTGTGAGATCATGTATGGAAAGTGCTCAGCGCCTGGCACGTAATAAGTGCTCAATAAATGGTAGATCATTATTTCTATCAACTGGGCATGTTGAATACGTAGCTTAGAGAATATTAGGTTTACTGTTGTATAAAGAGCACAGACACTTGCTACAACAGGGATGAACTTTGAAAACATTACGTTAAGTGAAAGATGCCAGACACAAAAGGCCACACCTTGTATGATTCTATTAATATAAATAAAATGTCCAGAATCTCCAGACACAGAAAGTAGATTAGAGGTTTCCAGAGGGCAGGGGGAGAGGTGAATGGGGAGGGACTGCTTAACGGAAAGGGGAGTTTCCTTTTGGGGGGATGAAAGTGTTCTGGAACTAGACAATGGCGGTGGTTGTGTTACGTTTTGAATGTACTAAATGCCACTCAATTCTATACTTTATTTTTGAGAGAGAGACAGAGAGACAGAGAGAGACAGAGAGAGAGAGAGAGAGAGTGCGAGCAGGGGAGGGGCAGAGAGAGAGAGGGAGATACAGAATCCCAAGCAGGCTCCAGGCTTTGAGCTGTCAGCACAGAGCCCGACGCAGGGCTTGAACCCACGAACTGCGAGATCACGACCTGAGCCGAAGTCAGGCACTTCACCGACTGAGCCACCCAAGCGCCCCCAATTCTATACTTTAAAATGGTTAAAATGGCAAATGTTATGTATATTGTCCCACAATTAAAAAAAAAAAACTGTGTAGAGCAGACATAGTTCACACATCTCTGGATTCAGTTCCCTCGTCTCCTTCGAGATCACAGATCTCCCTTGACAGTCAGAGAGGCAGAATCAATCTGTGTAGTCGCTCTAATGAGTAATTTATCAGAATCAAAAGCCCTCAAATTTTAAATAGTGCTTTGTCATGCACTCACCTCAAACTACATTTGTCACCATATTGTGAGGTTGGCTGCAAGAAACATTGTTCCCGTTTTACAGGTGACAAACTTGAGCATCATTGAAAGAAGGATTAGTGCTGGTAGTTACATACGCTGTTAATAGTGATAACATTGGGGGGCGCCTGGGTGGCTCTGTCGGGGAAGCGTCTGACTTGGGCTCAGGTCGTGATCTCACACTTCGTGGGTTCGAGCCCCGCGTCGGGCTCCCTGCTATCAGTGCAGAGCCCGCTTCAGATCTTCTGCCTGCCTCTCCCTTGCTTGCTCTCTCTCAAAAATAAATAAAGATATTAAAAACAAAATAGTGGTGACATTTTCTGAGTTCACAGAGGGAACGGACTCCTGTCCGTTCACAGAGGCCGGACTCCTGTCCTTGTTTTCTGGTTCCTGGCTCTGGGCTTTGTACATTACACGCAGTTGTTGACCGTACATTTTATTTATTTATTTATTTTTTAATTTTATATATTTATTTATTTATTTATTTATTTATATATGAAATTTATTGTCAAATTGGTTTCCATACAACACCCAGTGCTCATCCCAAAAGGTGCCCTCCTCAATACCCATCACCCACCCTCTCCTCCCTCCCACCCCCCATCAACCCTTAGTTTGTTCTCAGTTCTCAACAGTCTCTTATGCTTTGGCTCTCTCCCACTCTAA